TCAGATGTGTTATTTGATTTTGAATTTTTAAAATGACTTATAAATATTAAATTTGTCTAATAAATAATGAAAACATAATAGACCCGGTTTTTTATGTTGTCGTATAAGAAACAAATTGTTATATGATTAAAAGACTTGAATCTTGGATACCTGAGTCGGGCAGCTCACTACACCAGAGTTATGTCCAGGTAGGGGTCAAAAATGCAATTGCATTCTACCAATTTTAAAATGACCAAAATATCTTTCTAGAATTAAGTCAATGGTTATGGACTGCTTTAATTTATAGCATAGAATCTAAATTATTGAATAACCTGGCTGTGAACCATAGAACTTTTACTACAAAGAAATCATAGTCATTTTAAAATTGGTAGATTGTAATTGCATTTTTGACCCCTGACCGCTACATTGTCAATGGCCGATGCTCTCTCGGCCACCTTTCTTATAGTAAAAGGATGACACTGACATCGACAGTTCTATAGTGTTAATGATTAGTATTACTAATTACAGATGATACAACACAAATATTCTCAGGTAAAACGTGTAGAAAGTCGCAATAGGAAAAAACCTGTTAAGACAGAAGTCGGTTAAAAATAAGACTTTAGTAAATAGATAAATGTAGGTATCATTTACTGTGTGTGTTATGTTTTAAGACTGGAAGCTAGTGACGCCTTATTTAATAAATATACTATCGAAAATATTTGTTTCCGTATGAAATAATAAAATAAGTCTAAAAGAGATACATTGAAGAAAATATTGTCATTCGGTTATTTTAATATAACCAAAATGAAAGCCCAAAACCTTCAAAACTCATTATATTTAATTTTAAAATTGATCGACTACATTTTTTCACATTCGCTTTTGATTTAATTTCAATATAAATCCTTACTTGAAATGTTATATAACTTTCCAATCAAACATTTTACTCAAACTTGAGACAAGTTCGTAATTATATATTTTTTTTAGTAACGTGATCGCCAATTAATAGTTACTCGTTAACAAAAGGTCAATGTTCCTTGAACTTTATCAAAAAACTTAACTAAAAGTACACGTGACTTTTTAAACGATCAATAATTAATAGAAAAGTTTAAGGGAAAAATCGAGAAAAATCTGGGTCAGCGATTTGATTACATTATTACGTATCGTTTCTATCTCGCTCATTAGATTAATTAAAAGTTTTATTTGCTCAGAAAAGTGTTTTGTATGTAAATATTGACACAGACACAGTCCTTACACCACTTAAGAGTTTCTCATTGGCTCAATGTTGTATGGTAATCTTTACTTACCTATAATAAATGCGGACGTGTGTTTGTTCGTTAGTTTTTATTTCACATTGTTTCAGTTCGGTAGTAATTTTATAGTTCACATAATTTTGAGGTATTTAAGAATTTAGAAAAAGATATGTATAGTGAAAAAACATCAAGTGTGGGAGAGCCATGCTTCGGCACGAATGGGTCGGCTCGACCGGAGTGATCCGCCTCACAGAAAACCAGCGTGAAACACCCACAGCGTTGTGTTTCACCGAGTGAGTGCGGTTACCGGAGGCCCAATCCTTCCCCTCCCCTAATCCCTCCTCAATCCTTAAATCTCCAAATCCCTTTTTTTTGTGAGGGGAAAATCATCAAATGACGTCTCCCGCCCAGGGCCGGGCAGGAGGGAGTGTCAGACTCTTACTGACTAAAAACCCCCCTGTTCCTTCTCCTGCTCTGGGCCGAGGTCGCGGTACCTCATTGCGCTTACCCCGCAACCCCGGCTGAACATCAGCCCTTTAGGGCCCCATCTGTGGTGGTCGAATGGCTCTTTGAGGCGCGCGCGGAACGCTACGCGCCGTACGCTCGGGCCTGGTTCTGGTCGGGCGGCGAGCTGCCCTTACTCGCCGACCGCAGGCCCGTGCTTACGGTGGCCGGAGATCGTCCCTCGATCCCCGACGCCCGCTCATACATAAAAAAAGATGGACAAATAGCTAATTTGTTTTGATGGCGGAAGCGAAGTCACGAGTTATGACTGTTACCTATATGAAATAATTTTTATAATAAGTTTTATTGCAAACTCTCTCTTTCTCTCACTCACTCATTCTTTCTGAAAGTCGTCAAAGCCACTCTCTCTTTGTTCCTTTTGTTTTAATGCATTTATAAATTCATACAAAATCTTACGCTCAAGTACATCCAATTATTTGAACACGCAAGCCAAATTGTCTCTTATCAAACCGATCCCTTGTGAAACTATTGTTCTATCCTAAATTGGAGGATATTCTGTTCAATGGACAGATGTAAAGCAGCTTTGAGACGCATTTCCGAAACATTGATTTATTATTAACATTGAGTGATTATTATAATAAGGATTATTATATTATAATAATCACTAGTTAGTAAAAAACATTGTCGTTATTTCTGTCCCTTTATCCCTGTGCATGTTTAAATCTTTAAAACTACGTACAGATTTTAATGCGAAATATTAAAAAAGTATGGCTTTTTAGATAGTAAAGGTGAATAAATGGTTATGTGTCATACATTAAATGTATAACGATTTAGTTAAAAAAAGAAATAGTAATAGACCTAACCAAGACTTATTACAAACGCTGATATTTTAGGGGCGACTATTATAATTAATTGTATTAAAACTACAATTTTTGGATCCATATCTTTTGATGAAAATACTCAAAAACTTAAGAGCTTTTTTAAAGAAGTTTTTAACTTTAGCAAGTTAACGATTCAGCCGCTTCGATCTTAGAATTTGACGGTGTCAAATATACTACTTATTAAGGAGCTATTAGTAAAACAAACATGTTTATCCTTTTAAAAGAGACAAATGGTTACACTTAAAAATAAGTAACTTTGAAAATAACTCCTACAAAATTTATAGATAATTATCATTATTTTACTTTGACTACACGTTTGGTGAAGTGGCTGGGCAACTGGTTGCTGTGAACTTGTAAACGCACCCACGACAAGAGAGAAAATACTACTGAGGACAACTTTAAAATAAAAGACAAATAGAAGTTGGTTCAGATGCCAATAATGAAACCACGACACATCCTTTGTAGAAGTAATTCGATCAGACTTAATTAACTTAGCACACCTTGGTTTCTAATCAATACAAATTAAGCTCTAAGGCTTAAAACACTAACGCCCGGTTTCCGAAAGACCGATCAATGTTAAAATCAATTTAATCTCTTGTCAAGTCATCTGATTGGTTGACTGAATTATTAACAACCAATCAGATGACTTGACAAGAGATTTAACAGGAGATTAGTTAATTTTAGCGTTGACAAGCCTTTCAGAAACCGTGTGTAACTAATACAGCCTAACGAGCAGTTCAACCTAATTACAACTAATCTCTTCGTAACATGTACACATAGGTACAATAGGTGATATCTTGTTTTAGAAGAAGATTTTGCAAGCGGATAATGTACGCAATTTGTCAGTTTGTCAGACTTGAATAGGGAAACCTAAAAAGCTGATGAGGACAATGACAAGACAATTCATTAAAGAAGCGATGAAAAATTGTTCTGGAAATTTTGGTTTTAGTTATAATTATTAAACGATGAATGGTGTTGTCAAGTCTTGCCCTTTTCTATTTTTAGGCAAACTGAATAAAGTAAAATTTCGCGTAAGAAGGCAAATAATATACCTAAGACTGTTATTCTCTAAAATCTAAGGCAAAAAATGCTTGCTACATATTTTCTGAAACCAAATAACAAAATTAAATCATTTTGACTAACACTTTGAGCCCATGTTATGATTCGTCTGAACTAGTTTCTTGCTTAGAAGAACCGTAATGTGGGCTTATAAACGACAGACCAGCCAAAATCTTAAAAAAAACGTAATCAACTCATGTCAAAAAAAAGAAATGACGATAAAAACTTACATCTACGAATATTTGCGTCACAAATATGTATCAGTGGATGCTTCCAAACAGATACACTTGCCCTATCGCGTGTTAGAGGTAAATGGATCCATTTGAGGCCAATCCAGAGTAACCGACTGCACAAATCCAATTGTAATCCTCACTTGCAAAGTGAAGCCGAGACCACGCTTTTAAGTGCACTGTAACAGTCTTTTATAAAGTTTACTATTAAGGATAAACTTAAATGGAAGCTAAAGTTTATACAAAAGAGCTCGCAAAACCTTTCGATAAACCATTATATGAAGCTGTTCATTCTAATGGAGTAGAACGTCGATAAGAAACACGTGACGATAATATATTTTTGGTTCAGGATATGAATGTTATAATTATTAACGAGATGGCTCTGTAGAAAAAAGTTTGTTGAAGATAGAATGAAGAATTTTATGGTGTTTTTAAAAGTCAATTGTGTTCTCTCTTGAGTTGACGAGCACATGTCCGTAGCGTAGCTCCAATTTCCGGGTTCTCTTTTACTAATGGAGTAGAGTAAAGGACACGTGAGCCATTGCTTCAGTGGAACTTTATATTTCCTTTTTGATCCTTAATTTGTCCAAAAATTATTCTCAAGAAAAATGGTAACAGAAACACCTACATACCAATTTCAACAATACCAACAGACAGTGACACTTTAAAAGCATTGTAATGAATACTTTTATTTCTCTAACAATTCGTAGCGTGGTTGCCATTTTGAATGGACAAATTCAACGGTCCCCATTTCACCGCTTGTCATAAAAATAACTCAATGTAACGCGATCAGTTCTGACAGTTTACTCAAAAATTGTTCACCGTCATTTTAATTCTCATTGATAATGGCGTTGATTTTATTAAAAGCCTTTTTCAATTTATCATTTTGAGGGACATTGTCCTATTTTGAATCAAGTTTGTTTTGATTGCTATCAGTCTCTCTTTTGTTTATGTGTAAGATATTGTTCTTCAGCAAGACGTTCATTTTTCTGTGTTTCAAAAATATTCAATTGAAAATGCGATCGTTATAAAAAATACTTCTAGAATTTTCTACGTTCCAGTAGTCTTTGTTGTCATGTTTGTAAGACCGTTATTTTCAAATAATTTCTTACAAGATATACTTTCATTTGTTCCAGGATGGTGCGTGCAAGCTGCCTGCTAGCGAGCTGCGTGCTCATGACTCTGCTCCTCATTATGCCCGCATCTGCCTACCCCAGGTAGTGGTATAATTTACAGTTCGTTATCATAATCCAAAAATTTACAAAGACTTAAAACTTTTACAATTTATGCTGCTGTGCCACATGCCACGGGTTCGATTCCCGCACGGAACAAAACTTTTTGTGATACACACATTATTGTTTCGGATCTGGGTGGTGGGTGCGAATTTGTATGTTTGTAAACGCACCCACGACAAAGGAGACAAACCTATTGTCAAACCTATCACATATAGTCATAAGTCTAGAAAAGATACAACTAGCCAAACGACCGCTTTAACTGTCGTCAAAATAAGCAGGGAACTAGAAATGATTAAATAAAAAAATTAGGGAAGAAGACGAATGAAAAACTATTTATTCGGTACTAACCACGATGCAACAAAATTATCATAAAAACGACCGAAAAAAAAAACAACATACAAGAGACTTACGTGTGATATCGATTTATGACGGGACCTTTCGTTAAGGCACATAGGCGTTATAATTCTAACTGTAGGCGCCACTGATGTCATAAGTTCAGTTCCTAGGTCTATAGATACGCCATTCATTATTCAATATCACAAATAGTCACAATAAGATGACCACGATCCGTTTAATCAAATAATCTATTTTACTAAAGATCTTGATTTGACCGGTTTAATATGCGACTGAAATGTTCAGATCCATAAATTAAAAGTTTCTACCACGTGATTCGAATTGCTAAGGAATTTACACAGCCAAGTGCATTCATCTTGTTGACTTTAGCTAACAAATTTATTTGTACGGTTAATAAAATAAAGAGATTTTTTAAAGGATACTATTTAAATTGTAGGTATTTTACGTATCCTCCCAAAATATCCAAATTAGTATGAAAACATAGCTTGTTAAACAGAAAGTTTTTAAGGTAGACACATACCACAGCACCATTGTTATTCATAAAAAAATAACACGTGCTCTTGTATCTTCCAGTCCGAGCAACTACTTTCGCGAAGACATCCAATACGAACCCGAAGAGATCATGGACATGCTGAACCGCCTCGGTAACCTCATCCAGATGGAACGCAAAATGGAAAAGTAAGTAGTAGTAGAATTAATTGGCGGTTAAATCACTAGCGTCAAATCAAACTTCTGTAGAAAAAGAGAGGGGAAATTATTCGGTGAAGATGTCAAAGAAATTAGAAATTAAGGCTTTCTAAATCCTTCTAAAATTTGTTAAGATAAGAAAGATAGATTCTGAGTAAAATTTGCAAACTTTTGCATCACTATATTGAGAAGATTTTAAGTATGGGGAAATGATCTATCACAGCTATAAAAGTTACCTTAAACGACTACTCTCTCTCACCTACTAGATAACAATCTTTTCAAATAATGTGTATTGTAAAAAATATTGTTAAGGTTCATCAGCATTTACATTGTTATCTTCTACTTATGTAATTTCTTTTTATCTCTTTGCAGCTATAAAGAAGATATTACTAGGTACGTCTGTATGTCGTACTTAGACAATTGTAGTTATGTGTGCTTATTTTTATTTTACTTCGTCTTCGTCATTTTTATTTAGCAGTATTTAGATATTTTTATTTCGAAATGCATGGAATTGTTCTATTAAGTTCAAATTACTTAATTACTAACTTTCTTGCTTGTCTTTACCTAATCAACTTTTTAATCTTTTAGTATTATTACATTAGCTGCTGTGCCTGCAAGCTGCTTCGCTTGATTGTATAATTCAAATTCAGTTAGCTTTATTAAATCTACGATTGTTGCAAAGAGCTCTAGCATTTTCAACTTATTCTTAAGATAATTAATTTACTCATATATATTCTCTGTTATTCTTTACATTTTTATAATTTTGCTTACTTATAGCTAAATATTTTTTCTTTGGACTCAAAAATAACTATATAATTGTTTCAAAATATCTTTCATATTCTACTGACATTGTTTATAGGAAACAATTGTGAGAAAACTAATATAACAATACTATTGCTTTTACTATAGTGTAAACCAAATAGTAATATAGCGTCATACTCTAGGGACCTTTATTTGAACTCAGCTCCCCGTGGTACTCGTTAGAGACAGATGAATTTAGGAGAAAAATATACCTAATGATATTATTTTTTATATTTACGAAATTTTCTATAGAATACCTTTTCTGCAGAGAAAATGTGTTCATAAACTGAGACAATAAAACTATACATTTTAACGTTTTTGGAGAATTTATTATAGAAACAGAAAAATCAATAGGTAGGAAAAAAGAGAAAGATAGAAATAGAGAAGAATCTCTATTTTATTAATCTTTATAATTTTGAATCAAAATGAAAGTCAGCACTGGCCTTTTAGAACTATCACGACACCTTTTATAAAAGTAATAAAACAATAAACTGACGAGCCAGTTGTAAAAGGAAAAATGCCAACGATTTGCTACAAGTTTTTTGTTACACAAGCGAAAATTTTTCATGCGCTTCAGGGAAACAATTTACCTCACTTCAGGGAAGCATTCCCATTAGTACACACAGTCCCGTGAACATTGAAGTCAGCGTTTTCATATTCAACGTGAAATTGCTCAACAAAATTCTCAACACGACACAATTTAAAAAAATGATTTATCTTTTTTATGCCCAAAACTTTATTCGTTTTACTTTTTTAATGCAGCAAGATGCGGCTTTATTCCCACACTCGGCAAAAGCATGGATGATGATATATTTTTCAAGTTTTCTATAATTGTGTTCTTATTTTTTATCATTTTGCATTTCGTTCAGTTCATCTTCGTGATAATCAAATGTTTCATTATTTTTTTAAGTAGATGCATGAATTTTCGTTTCAATCCCACACATCAGAATAAATCAAACAGCCAAAGCGAATTCAATTTCAGCTGAACATACTTCTTTAACAACCATCGTAGTTACCGTAGCTAACTGTTTTCTCAAATTCCAGCGAGAAGCGAGCCCTCGATCTTGGCCTGAGCCGTGGATACTCCGGCGCCCTTCAAGCTAAGCACCTCATGGGACTTGCAGCAGCCAACTACGCCGGAGGCCCAGGAAGGAGGCGACGAGATGCCCACTAAGCTTAGAATAATCCTCTCTCGAATACTGCACTGAGGTGGACATCCAAAACCATAACGCAACATCTCTATGCAGTACCTTCATACGCTTATCCATCAGTCTGGCTGGCTCCATTGGACAACTAAGTCATCCATTATAATATAGCATATAGTCAAATTTATTCAAATTAACGCTTAACGTGATATATTTCTAGTCAGATTTTGTAACATCCATGTTGTAATTATTGTATTTTTAAATGGATTTTATTGTCTGTTATACGCTTAGCGACGCGTTCCCAGTGATAGATATCTGGTAGCCGAGAAATCAAAATAATTATATATCTACACTTGTCATTAGACTGGACTTAAACCAAATATTTCTACCATTTTAAGTACGTACGACTTCTATAAATTGATTTCTTTAGTATATGATTCGTGAATTTCAATATGATTCCAATTTTGAATTTGTAGTGAAAGTTTTTATGAAAAACGAAAAGTATATTTGACTGATTTTGATACATTTCTACGAGTCTGATGTTGTACCTAAATCTATTCTAGTCATCTCTAGTCATTTCTTTCGTTAGATTCTTTATCTTCATTCCATTTCGGTGTCAGTATTCCTTCAGTATTAAAAATATCATTACTTAAAATATCTTTCAAATTGTAAGATTTAATCACGAATGTCTTAAAAACGCTTAATATTTATTGTAAATTAGATCCTACAGTATTTCTTAAGATCCCAGCTGTACTAGATTCAATGTTACAATTCCTATGTATGAACGTGGCAAACTAGTAACTAGATAAAATATAAGTGATAAATACCTCCTGTCTAGAGTTTATTGTTAAAAATAAAGAGATATTCATATTTATATAAATGTGTTTATATTAATGCTTCATGTTATATATTATGTCTATGTAAAATCTAACAATATCACTTATTACAGCAATGACAAAGGCTTTTCAATGACATCCCTCACTTCTACTTATTATACAATATTTCAAAAGGAAATTTAAATCTTAAAGCATTCACTTGGAACAAACTGAAAAAACTGGGCCTAACGCAAAATAATTAAGAATTAAAAACTTATCCTATGGTGGCTGGGATGGCCTACTAACGCCATCTACCTATGGTGTCTGGAAACTTAGCCACGAGTTGCTAGCGACATCTAGCGATCCATGAATTAGATACCTAATCTAACTGAAGTCAACGGTACTGCCTAGTTCATGCCAAAAATAATAGATGTCACTACTAGTCTGTCTTGTATATTCTTGTTTAGTTATTTTATAAATTGTAAAATACGAAATTGAAAAGCGTTTACCGTAACTACATAATTATTTATTTAATATATTATTTTATTGATAATTTACATCAATATTTTTCTGGGAATATTTCGTTGCTCTTAAATTACATACATATATTATATGACAATAAAGTGCAGTTACTTTCTGATGTCAAGTCATAAAAAATACATATTCTTACATCAATATCTTGAATTCATTAAAATTTTAGTAATTTCTTAATCAAAATCATATCAGCATCAACTTAATTATAATTTCAACTTAACAGTCAGTATCCCGTATGGTCTAGTGGCTAGGATACCTGGCTTTCACCCAGGAGGCTCGGGTTCGATTCCCGGTACGGGAAAATTTTTTTGTACAATTTTGTTTCGTTACTCTTTATAGTTTACCTTACTTTTTCAACAATTTTAATTTATTTTTTGCTTTATATCAGTACAACCACGTCGATCTTAATATTGTTAGAAAGGAACTCTATACGGCTTTGGACTGCTGTGAGAGCTGGGATGGATGATATGAATTAACTTGTATAAAAAAAATGAAAGTTTTTAATACCAACGTAGCAGAAAAATATTGATTCATCATAATCGTCTGCACTGAAGCTAAAGAGCAGTGTCAACATAGGTGGTATGAACAAATAAAATGAAGTACATCCATTTTAACAAGACCTCTGATGGTAGCAAATTTCTCACCAGTTTGCCTCAGTTCGTGCAACATAAGAGTTCGAGGGAGCTCAACTTACGCTAGACTGCAGCACTGGGGAGGATTGTGTATTCAGATGAATGCCCATACGTTTTTCAATATGGCCGCTCTCTGTGTTTATAGTCGGTTAGTATTTAAAGTATTTATAGATACAATACGTTTTCAAGGTGATACACAAACAGTTTAATGGTTATAAGTATTGGAATCTGAAATGTAATTCAGTAACGAGTAAACCAGTGCATAGGTTTAGTTGGTTATAATATTTTTGGATTCAGTTAAAATGCGCCTAGTTAGCGTGAAAAAGCATTTTTGCCAAAACCTTTTAGTAAGGCGTTTTAATAAACACATCGTGCAAAATAAGATGAATTTTTAAGTACCTAGTTATTAAATAGGTAATTGATACACAAAAACTGAGAAACCATCTCTTTTCATTGTCGTCAAAAATCAACTTATAAACAAAACTGCTCTTTTTTTAATCGAATAGTTATTTAACTTCGTCAGGTGTCATATACCTACCGTTCTCGAACTAGGTATTATTATCCAATTGAAAGACAATGACGCGAAGTCTGATAATAGGTACAGTTTTTTTTGTGAGAGAAAATCGCCAACTAACTTCTCTCGACCAGGATGAAGTTTAGTGAGAGGAGGTGTCTGGCTCTTACGGACTAAAACCCCCTTGTTCCTTCTCCTAGCCGCGGTACTTTATTGCATTTGCCACACAGCCCCGGCTGAACATCGGCGCTGTTGCGCTCCATCTGTGGTGATCTAATGGCCCTTTGAGTACAGTTGGCGCAGTGCCTGGGTAACTGTCTACTACGCGACGTGTCGCGGGTTAAAATCCCTTACAGAAAAAACAATGTAATTTGTAAACTGTAGTTCCAGGTCCCAGTGGCTTATATGTGTGTATTTGTATATTAGCAAACGCACTCGCGACACAGGAGAACATCCTAGTGTGGAGACGTTTCAAAAGAACTGAAACAATTAAATTAAATAAGTGAAAAAAAGACTTGCTTACCTACCTAAACCATTTTCAACCTTAAAACAATGTATGTAGAATTGTTTCCAGACTCACTTTGAACATTAGAGTCGCGGTTTCACTAGACAGAGCTCATTCATGGCGTTATGATGTGGTTAGTTTACACCCCTCTGCCTACCTATATTCCTGGAAAAATCCTTTACTTTGTGCCTTTATGAACCTGGGCCCATTCATGTAAAATAGTTCATAATGTTTATTTATTATGAAATAAAGAACTGTAAGCTGTAATAGGTACGCTGGATAAAATATCGTTCATAATTCATTTTAGTTTATTTTTTTTATTATAACTTTCGTGAGACATTCTTATGGCTTGAAACTAGTCGAGTATCTCGTCAAATTATTACGTGAGTAAGCCGAAAACATAATAAATAATTCATTTAAGTCGTTTATAAACAATCATGTTTTTTCTTGTGAGGTCTGACCTCACAAGAAAAAACATGATTGTTTTTTCTTATCATATATTATCAAATTTCTTCTACCGCCCAGTGTGAGACGAGAGGGAGTGCCAGACTCTTACAAACTAAAAACCCCCCCGTTCCTTCGGCTGCTCTAGGCTAAGGCCGGATTGCCTTATTAAAATAACTCCGGCTGAGCATCAGCCCTATAGGGCCCAGTCTGTGGTGGACTATTGGTTCTTCTAGTTCTGGTTAGCCTTACTCGCCGTCCGCCTTACCGCGCTTACGGTGGCCGGAGATTGTCTCTCGAAATTTATAAAGATAAGGTAAATTTTTAAATGGAAAATCCGACGTAAGACAAACTTGGTAGGTCGGGCCAAAGGCTCGAGCTTTACACGGTAGTTCGGGTACCAATACCTAGATGTCGTTACACGTTACACGTTAATGAAATTTGTCTTAGTTTGTAAGTATCTCATTAATTTTACTTTGCGATCTTTTTATGGCACAGAGATAGATTATAGTCTGTATCTAATCACACATAGGCTATTTTTGACCATAGTTCTACAGGCACTGCCGCTAGAAAAACCTAATGTATGATACTAAAAAAAGTCAATAAATATCCAATCTATCACAAGAGCATAATAAAAACAAAAAAACATTGTTCACTCAACCATAACGTCCTACTTACAACACATCGTATAAACAAGAGGTCATTTGCCAAAAGAAAAACCAAGTCACCACATTCCACAGATAAAACTGATAGACTGATACCGTCGTTAGCCTAATTCCATAAAATTATATATATATTTATAAATACTTAGTTCCTATACTTAATTTATTCATATCTAGGTACTGGTAGGAAAGTCCAAACTGATGGACTTTTTGTTCAAATCAAAAGTCATTTGAGACTTAATAGTCGATAGACTCAAAGACCTAGGTAACTACTTACATAAATAAAAAACATTTTTTTCAAGACACAACTATGTAATAGCTAGGTATAAAACTAATTTGGATGCTTAATTTTTTTGTGATTTTTACCGTGAGCTCTATAAGGCCAGAAACTTTATTGCACTCTGGTCAATTCAGATAAAATATTATTATCAATATAGAATAATTAATAACAACAATACCTAATTAAAAATACACTTTCAAACCAAATTCCGTAAGTCTATTTTCCCATTACCCTCTAAAAACTGCTACATAAAATCTAACATAACAATATACACATCTTGCGATTGTAGACTTCTCACTGTGTTCACAAGAGCGCTCTCACCGGGGTCAATGAACCGGATCGATATTGCACCTTAGCTTCGTTAGTTGAACGCGGAACAGTGCAGGCTTTCTAATTAGAACCTAGTGCCTTGTCTAGTTAATAGCCTAGGTACCTACTTGAGAACTATTAACGTAACATGGTATCAAGGTTTTGTATAGGCTTTTTCCCTTAATTTTTAGTCATATTATAAGTATCATTTACTTTTGTTCTTTAGACTGTTATATCTACCATGACCTGTCTCTGTATCATTCTAAGGCAGACTGGAAGTAAAATGTAAAAGTCAACCTTAGCACTAACACATGAAGTGCAAAAATAGCAATACATAGGTACCTGCGTTAAGATAAGTGTTGGTACTACATAGCTCTTAAGTATCATCTATTACCAATAAAATATATACAAAACTGGCTTTTTGGCTTGCTTGCAGATTTTTGATATAAAAACTATCCGATGTTCTTTTTCGAGTTCCAAACTATGTCTGTACAAAATTTCACAAAAATCGGTTTAGTACCTAGTTT